ACTGTTGGGACTGATCAAAAATGTTAAACCTCCTGAAGTCATATTGGCACAAATTATTTGGACACTTTTCAGGTCAGCTTGTTTAGTCTGAGTCCAATGTTTACATTTCTGAGACGCTTCATTCTCACCTGGATGATTTAATCTCAAATCATCAGAAACCTTCTGGTAAACCATCTCTGACTAGCTTGACGTTTTTATTATCATAAACTGTAGAGATTTGAAATGGTATCTGTTTTGTTTTGGCTTGATGTATGAAATACTTTGAGATTTATTTTGAAGTTGCATTTATGTTTGATCAACAACGTCTGAGGAACTATTAAAATCTTCTCTGTTATTTCTCATCATGTTTTTATCTTCAATAGTTCCTCAGATGTTGTTGCTCAAACTGACTCAGATTTCAATGTGAGAACAAACCTGCTGTCAGTGGGTCGACGGGCAAAAAGGAAAAGTGACATATTGATGTAAAATGTCACAGATGTCTTTATAAACATCTATGTTCATGCTCTAGAACTTTCAGGCGAATCAGAGACGGTCGAGCAGAAACTGTTGATGATCTGAGACGGAGGAGTCGACTGAGTGTTTTTAGATAAATCTCCTCCAGAGTCGGAGCAGAACCATCGGCTGTGAATCGACTTCCTTCACTGTAACACTGATCTGAACACAGTCCGGTTGAGTCTCTGGAATTCACCAACGTTAATGCACCTTGTAGCGTTTGACCACGACTGTCGTTGAAAACCCTCCAGCTTCAGGACGGTTTGCTCTGAGAGCTGATGAGTCCGTCAGCAGACGAGGAGGAGTAGCGTCCTTCATCTTCATCCTTCTCCTCCTCCTCCTCCTTCATGCGTGGGTTCTCCGTGGGTTCTTCTACCAGCAGCTTCAGACGGTTCAGATGATGCAGAGCTCTGAGGACACAAACACTCAACGTTAATTCATAATTATCATTTTTAGTCGCTCAAAACGAGGATCAAACCAGCAGATCACAAAATCTGACAAAAAACGGACTTAAAGGACTTTTTAATATTTAATATAAAACATGAAATACTTTTTCCTGGGAACTGTTTTCAGTCCATCACTGTGAAACTTCATGTCTTCATCTATCTGCTGCAGCTCAACCAGTGAATCTCCTGAATTCTCACAACAAGCTGAGGTCAGTTTGTGTTCGACGACTTTTACTTTTCTCTCTGTGTTGTTTTTAACAGGTTTACATTCATTTTCTCTGAGACTGTAAAAAGCTGCTCAACAAACAAACTTTACTTATTGAACCACATGTTAGATTTCCAGACGATCTTTTGTCATGTTTTGGTTTTAACTTTGAGCACATGCTGGCCGTTTCTTTGCTCCTTTTACATTTTAAGCCCATTAAGCATCACAGAAGACTTTCTCATGGAGCCCCTCTGCTCGCTAAACGCTCACAACGCTCTTTACTCGCACACATGAAGCGCCTGAAGTCTGAATAGCCACCTGTCTATCAGTAGGAGGCGCCACCTGGTGGAGCAACCAGGTACTGCAGCTGGTCTACGACATATTTCTGACATTTCTGACCTTCTTCTTTTGTATTATCAGTTAATATATTTGTAATCAGTTAAATTATCAATGGCATTAAACAATAAGACACCCCACCTGGTGGAGCAAGCAGGTACTGCAGCTGGTCTACGATATACTTCTAACATTTATGACCTTCTTCCTTCATCTTATCAGTCAGTATATTCTTAATCGGTTAAATTATTAACAGCGATTAATCACTAACATCACTGCAGTCTGGGATCTATCCAGTAACTACACCTGCTTTAACTTTAGCCAACGCGACTGAAAGTAGTTTTTTTCTTCTTATTCTTACGTTATTGTGATAATATAACGTTATTGTTCTTTTCCAATGTTACTGGACCAAATGGACCTAATTAAAAGTGTTATTTCACAAAGTCTGTGGTTGTACTGATTGTTTGTGTTGTACAGCCACCTTCCCTGAACAAACTTTAAGCAGGTTCTGATCGACTGACCCGTTCAGCCTGAGCAGTACTTGTTGATTCTGGCTGCAGGGAGGCTGATTAGAGCCGATAATGAGAGTTAACACATTATGACGGTTTAATAAACTCCCCCGTCCTGCTGTAAAGGCTCCCAGCATGCAACAGCTGATAAACTCAACCGGTTCTCTGCTCTGGAGGCTCCTCTCCAGAGGCGGCAGCACATCGACACCAGTTTGGATCACAGGGTGAACTGAACCAAGACTGAACCAAGACACGCTTAATGACTGGCTCCTGCTGAGTATTGATCATTGCTTCAGCCCACAGCAGGCCTCTGCTGTAAGGAGTGAAACGTCGATGCGTTCAGTGGGCTGTTACCTGTGCAGTGAAGGGCTTCCAGGAAAACCCTGCAGCTCCACGTCGGGCCGCTGCAACACAAACACAACATCTCAGACGAGTTCTGCATCAGAACATGAGGAGAATTCAGTTTGTTGAGTGAGAAAGCGTCGTACTGAAACACGTTTATCACCTATGTTTAGCACGCTAGCATGCTAACGTTTGAGAAGAACGCAACTGTAGCTGCAGAAGATGTTGTGCCACTTAATATAGGAGCTCTGTAGATGTTTTAGTAAAGACGGGGACGAATAAAGCCACAAAAATCAATAGTATTTAACCTCATGAATGCACCAACTTTCATAGCAATCAATCAACTAGCTGCTGAAATATGTTAGCATGAGGTCGGCTAATGTACTGTCCTAGAATCATGCAGCTAGCACGGCTAGTGGTACAACATTCACAGAAAATGCTCCACGGTTTTGGGGGCTGGAAAGTTTTCTGTCCAGCTGAGAAAACAATATTTTGTCATTTATTTTTAAAAATGTGAACGTTCAGCAGTAGCTCAGTGGCTGTAACGGTAGCTGGTTGATCGGCTGCATCTGATTGGACGACGCTTTACTCAAATCTGCTCCTGGGTTTCAAACCGGACCAACATGGCGGCTCGTTTAGAAGCTTTCTCCTTCACTTTGCTGAAACAGTTCAGCAAAATGTGTTTCTGAAACATTTAAGGAGAGAAAGAAGCAGCTGAATCGGTCTTCGTTTCAGAGCAACGACGGTTCGATTAAAGGTTTTTATGCGAGTTCATGAGGCGTCCGACGCTCGTTAGACGCTCCTCGTTTGCATAAAGAGGCCAAGACTTCACGTTTATGCAAATGTGCAGCTACCAGAATGCATTGCAGGTTGTTTCACATCAGCAACGGATAGAAAGCTTTGAAGGAATGGATCTTGTTTTGCAGATAATTCTACTCAGACATCAGCAACATGTTTCTGTCCTGTCAGCTCGTGGTTGACCCGTGAACTCTGTCCGACCCCTCCCACCTGTTTCTCAGGTGTCTTGAGGCCCTCAGGTAGTTCTGGAGCCGCTGAGGCCTGTTGCTGCTGCTGTTGTCGTCGCTGCAGCTCCGACTCCACAGACTGCAGCCTGAACAGCATCTGCTTCAGAGCCTCCACCGGACCGGGCTGCTTCTGGACGCTGCTGCTGTCCCTGGAGCCGTGGTCCTGAAACCGGGACAGACAGCAGACAGAGGACCAGGTAGACCTGATGATGAAGAGCTCAGGTGCAGCTAGAAGGATTAAAACTGAGTCATGAATGCTAAATGCTAACGCTAACAGCTGACGGGCTGACAACTTAAATATTAACAACAATCACAATGTTGGCTTCCTACAGTTAAATAAACACGATTGACTGAAGTTTTATAATAAAATCTCTCAGGTTTGAAGCCTTATTTTGCTCTTTTATAACTAATCTGTGGTCGTGCATGAGCTTCTGCAGAGCTAGCATCAACCTCAACCTGTTGAAATAAGCTGAGAAAGTTGTGGAGAAGTTTATCTGGAGCCTTGATTTAGAGCTAAAAAACACAAGCTGCACAATGAAGAGCACACAGAAGATGGACTACGCTGCTAAACGATAATAAAAACAGACTAAATGAGGATCTGCAGCGTCAGGTTCTAGTAGAGGAGCTTTAACGTGGACCTGCTGCAGCTCTTATAAGACCAGTGAAGCTGGACGTGGAGGACGGACACCTACCTCCATCTCCTCACCGGTCAGAGCTTCTGCGACGCCTCCTCCTGCCGCCGAGTCTCTGAGGGTTTAACAAACAGTTTCAGGTGTGAGTCAGCAGGTGGAGTCAGAACCGATAAAACAGGAGAGGAAAGAGTCTTACGGGGCGGCTGGAGGACGGAGCAGCAGCTCGTCGGTGTTGGTGGGACTCAGATCAGCGCTGATCACTGGAAACACAAACCAGAGTTTATGAGCTGCTTCAGCTTCTCACGGCGTCCTGAATCAGACAAACTGTTGCTGCTTAAAGTCACATCTGAGCTTCTCCTGCGTCTCCAAGTCAAAGAGACGACATTTCAACC